TACTACATATTAACATGTTATATTAACGTTCTATCTTTACATATTAACATGTTATATTAACGTTCTATCTTCCATAAAGTATTTTACTTTCTTTTAATTCAAAGAACTAATGTGATATTCACAGATAAAAGTGAATTGAACAGGAAAGCTATAAAGGCTGCGGTACAGGAGATTCGAGAGGATTTGTTTACAGGGTGTGAAATTAATCAAACACAACAAAAATGAATTAACTTAGACACAAATGTTTCTCTTAGAAATAAAAACCAACACTTTTACTTTACGTCTTAGACCACGTGTAAAATGGTTATGGTTTAAAAAACAAAGACTCTTTTCTTCAGTCTGTGATATAGCTATTGGACAACGTCAAGACATGAGGCAAGCACGACCAATACCAAGCGGATTCTGACTGGTTCATTGTACAAACATTCGAATGAACCTGACCGAGTACCATGTTTTCTTAAAATTATGTTACAGCTCTAAGTTCTACCAGGACTTCTCAAAATTCTGTGCCACCCACGCATTAGGTATGGGAAATCATGTTTTCTGATTCTTTTACATCCACTTATAATTAAATTGTCAGACAACCAGTTCACTGACTTATCCATCAAGAAGGCAGATGTGAAAAACTGACAAGTGCGGAGCTAAGTCTACAAACATATATTATCCTGAAAGACGAATTTAGGAGAGTTTAAAGTAGATTGCATTATGTTCCTCTGGAACTTGTAACTACGTACAGTAAGATGTACTGACATTTTGAAAATATATATACAAATAAAGATATATATGTTTAGTTTATCATATTTACCTTAGTTATCCTTAATTTTAAATTGAAATGAAAGCACGTTTTTGAATGCAACTCAATCTGACAAAGTGAAATCATTATCTTAAATCTGGATGATGACATGACTAAGGTTGTAGAAATAAAGGACTCTCTGTGTCCATATTTGAAATGACAAGTAAAAGGCACTAGGTAGTCCGAGAAGTTGTCCTTCATCTTGGGGAAACACATTCTAGAAATATTTGGAGAAACAATCACTTGGTTGGATGACAGAGAATTGGTACAATATATGGATTCACTTGTTGACAGTAGATAAAGTTTGTATGAATTGTGAAATAAACTTTTGTTACACATTTGTAGTCGATCATGGTAAAACCTATAAGATACTTTATGTTAGAATGTTTAGTGTAAGAAAAATTTTAATTTATTTAAAATAAAGGACTTTAGCAAGTCCCTAACCAGGTATCAGAGGATAGAGGACAAACTGAAGAAATAGAGGACTGTCCTCTAAAATACATGATTGGAGACAACTCTAGCAAGTGAAATTCACACGTGTAACACTTGCAGCCGTGTCTTCTATTATACATCCCTATCATTGAGTTGGAAATGAAACATTATTTTCATCAATGAAATATATGGAGCTGGAACTGTTCCGCTGCAGTTCACGCAACTTGAAATCAACGTTGACAAATATAATATATAACATTGTACACAGTCACCTTACTGAGAAGAAATAATAAATGACAGTAAAATACATTTATTAATCTAGCTGTCTACTGACCTGTACTACTTTATGAGTTAGAAACTTCATTACCGTCAACGTAAGGATATAAACAATCAGACCAAATCCAACGGAACAAGAAATCATCTACCTTTATCACATGTCATTTCTTGTGTTCTGTAAGAAGACAATGCACTCACTATACATCAAGAAGAAATATATAGACCCAATCAGACGTGAAAGAAGACCTTCTACTTAAATGTAACACAACAGTTACTTGCGCATAAGTATCAGGTAATTTTCCAAATAAACATTAACTAATGTTCACTATGGAATCTTACATGAGAGCTCAGAAGTGGAATTCTTATTAATAATTAGCAATCACACAAACTGTTAATGTTTTAGTTGTTACCTCTAGCAACCTCAGCTGTTCTATCTGTGGTAATCATGAGGCTAATACGAAACACCATATCGATATTTTACAACGAAGTTTTACTCGATAGGTTGGAACTGAGTTACATAGCTTCTTTTTCACTTTCAGGTCTTCTAAATATTGAGATACTATTATCATCCTTAATTACTAATCAGTTCGGTCAACTATATTTATTTGGAAGTTAATGTTAACACCATGACCAATCTCTTGAGTAACTGAACCTTTTTTACATACAATTCATCCTCTTCAGTCTCATTCTGAACAGCTAGAGAAGCACTTATAGCGTCTTCCTTGTCATCAACTATGTGTAAATAGTTAAAGTGTTCTTCTAACTCATCAATCAAGAGAGTCATCAATGACTTAGCTACTGAAGTTCAGTTCTTCCTTATGCTTATAAATTGTTGTTTGCCTACCTATTACTATTCAGCTTAACTGCCAGACAAAGAATGATATGGCGAAATGCATGTCCTCCCTAAATCTAAAAACTGCAAATAACTGACTGTTGAAATTTGTTTCTTGAACTGTGTAAATTTCTCATGGTGCTTTAAAATACGTATCCTATGTTCAATTTGATGGCGTAACTGATAGATACCAGCATATGTCCATTACCTTTATCATTTTCTTAGAGTAAACTACTACTATTCAGGGCTATTCTCTGCAGTAGAGGAACTAGATCTCTGTAGAAGAGATTTATTTGACGTCAGCACTTTTATTCTATTTCTTTTGAGTAAAACACACGGTACAAAATTTATATAACT